ATTTCAAATATCAGTATTCAACGTTTTAAGATTAAAATAACAAAATATTATTTATGCATTTGTAACTGCAGGTTAAAGCATTCATGCCTTGCATTAAACAGTGTGTGCATCTAATGCCACTTCAGATGCAGCTTCTGTGTTTCCTCTGCATTGCATGAATTTTGTTTATAATGATTTTATTTGTTTGGTAACTGTTCCAAATGTCTTATTATTATAATTGACTTAATTGATTAAATGTAAGAATTTGACACACTTCTAGAAAAAATGGCTTTACAAAGGTAAAAATGCCCATAAAGGGTAAAAAATAATTTTAAACTTGGAAAAGATTCATTTCTGTCACTGCTGTGAACTGACCACCACAGAGTCAGCTGTCCAAGACAGTCCCCTAACCCTACCCGATACTTTATTTTCAACTTTTTGATTATTTCCTTAATTTTTATTGAAAATAAATGCCTTTACGATGTGATACGAGATTTGAAAAGGGAGGGAAAAAAAGTTCTGCAAAAGGCGGGATCGAATCCGGGTCGATCGCGTCAAAAAGCCAATAACACGCACTCATCCAACTGCGCCAACTGGAGCTGATGATTTTACAGCCACTTTTAACTACATGTAAATATACACTCCGTATTTTTATTCCATAGTAAGGGCAATTCATACAATACATTTAAACTGAACTACTTTAATACCATCTCCGAACTTTCTACCACGACTCTGCTGTTCTTCGGCTGGTTCCTCCCTGTATACATTGATTGACAGATGTCTCGTCCAGTTAGCGGTGAGTAATCCCAAACCAATGGCGCTGTCTCAAACTATACCTACCTCTTCCGGCTTGTCTGATTTGTCGTTTTGTTTTCTGACTTGTTAATTTGTTTTCGGATTTGTCGTTGTGTTTTCTGACTTGTAAATTTGTTTTCGGATTTGTCGTTGTGTTTTCTGACTTGTTAATTTGTTTTCGGATTTGTCCTTGTGTTTTCTGACTTGTTAATTTGTTTTCGGATTTGTCGTTGTGTTTTCTGACTTGTTATTTTGTTTCGAATTTGTCATTGTGTTTTCTGACTTGTTA